TAAAGATAATTCAACTCATTCAAACTTCTTGTACATCCTATATATTAAGCCATGGTTATAGAAAAAATATAGTGTTTTGCTTGTCGAAAAGCATTTTCTGCAAACGAGAGAACAGTTTATCAAACGAGGCGCACTATTTTTTATAAGAATAAGAAATAATTTGGATGAATTCTAACGGTAGTTTGAAATAGTAAAAACCTAGCTTTTTAAGGAGATTTAGTAAATTTTATCCTAAAAATCTCACATCCGTAATTTACGAGTATTACGGAGGTGAAAAAATGATTACGGTGGTGAGAAATAATGCAAATATCTTGTATTTCGTATTTAATTTGTGTCCTCCATTATTAAGTAGATTTTCGTATTAGTAGGAATATGGTCCGCTCCAAAAGAAAATGCAGCGACGAGGAAATGAAACAAAAACAACGAGAAGCTGTCAAGAGGTTTTGTTAGAAAATACGAAATAATTCCAACAAATATGAAGAGGCCAAGCGTAATGAACGGGAACGTTATTACAACAGAAAAGAAGCTAGTAAAATTAAATCTATTTTACAAATATCATACAGAGAACGCAATCAACAACGAAAAGAGTGGTGAGAACGTAGTAAACGTTGTTATGATTATGATCGAAAAAAAGAAGAAAAGTTAGTTCACCAAGAAGATCGGCAATACGACAGGGGAAATTAAGAAGACGGGTACAACTTCGAAAGATTAATAATAGAACAACGGAGCTGACACAACAACTGGTCCAAGAGAAAAAGAAAAGTATAGAATGCGATTAAAACGATTTAAAAGTAAAACTCGAAAGATGATCCAGAGAGGAATGTAGAGAAGTTACTTCAAGGACATAGTGTGTCCGCAGAAGTAAGAAAGAAATTACTTCTTGGCGACATAATTGGACGACAATTAGCATACAATTACGGTGCCCTGAAAAGTAAAAAAGACAAGCAAATCTTCTGTAAAAACGTTTCGGGTGAAATAATTAAAAAGTACAGAAAGGAAAATTATTTAAAACGTATATCTTCTTATGTTCGTAAAACATTCGAACACTGACACCAAGAGGCAACAACGAATGAACAAAGTTAAAAAACTTGTTACTAATTTATTGGAAAGTGATGAATGTAGCCGCCTTTATCCAGGAAAGGGAGATTTTTATCAAGAAGAATAAAAAGAGATTATTGAATAATTCCCTTAAAAACCTTTATAAAAGATGTGTCATTGATCAGAAATTCTACATAAGCTACGCTACTTTCTGTCGATTTAGACCTTTTTGGATAATCGAAGGATCTGTTGGAAAAAGAAACACTTGCTTGTGTATGATACATTCCAATATTTTTTTACTGCTGCGACAGTTAAAAATATATAATATGATTGATGAGAGTACACATGACGAACTTTGTAAAAGTTTGTGCTGTGAAAATGACATATTAAGTGAAGAATGTGCCCTTCGTGTAAAGATAAAGAGCTCCAAATTGTAAAATTTGAGAACGCAGAAAATTTAGTTTTTGAGCGGTGGGCTGTACAAAAACACAAACTGATGATTAGAGGCAAAGAAAAAATTTGTAAGAAGACTATTAAAGAAAAAGTTTACACTACTAAAAAAATACTCTTACAAACGCTCAAAACTTCTATGAATTTAGAAATAGGGGGTGATTCCATATAAATTTGTTTGTATTTCGGGTAATAGCGCCATGTATACTTATTATAATTAATATAAATATAGAGTTACTAGCTATTGCCCGCGGCTTTGCTCGCGACTTGAGCAATGTAGTCGTGTTATTAATATAAAAAAATACATGACTTTCAAATTTTTTTGCACGGTTAAATAGAGAATAAAACCCCCTTTCAAATGAGCTATCACTCACCACCCCATGCCATTTAAATTTTTCGAAAGGGTTGCTACCCTCCAGTAAGGGATAAAATTAAGGGTAAACTAATCAAGCAAAAATGTACATTGTAAAAATCAAAAATCGACCTGTCTCGGCGATTTTCCTAACAAGACCCCAGTAACGAGTTAGTTAGGGGGGTAAGACTTATGATGCTCACTGTATATAGATGTACCTAAATAAATAAATAGTTTTCTCCCGATAAGGAGACTTCATCATCAGTTTCCTCATTTCCCACAGATATAATAATTGGTTTTATTGTTTCCTTTATTAACAGATCAAGTTTCCAGAATTTCTCTTCCACTGCTATGACATGTCTTATAGCGTTTTGCCAATTGTCGGGTGAAATTTTTGATATGGAGTCACATAATAGTTGACGAACATCTTGAAGTTTAAATGTTGTATTGTTTCTCGCGACTTATGCCTTCATTTGAGCCCAGATTAGTTCAATGGGGTTAAGTTCACAGTGATAAGGTGGTAACCGCAACACTTTTAACTCCATGTTCTTTTGCCATTTCATCTGGTCTATACTTCTTAAATTTTGGTGAATGCTGTTTACATAACTGTAATAGCTCTTTTCTAAGTAATTCCTCTTCTACCACTATTTCTTTGGTTATTAGCCAATCGGAGAGTTCTTGCTTTTTTCCAGTTAGTGCTAGGTAAAGGTTCCTTTAATCTTGAATGGTAACTGGCATTGTCCATAACTATTACAGAATTGATCGATAATAAATATATCGGCGACCTTTCCCATTTGGATATTTTAATCCAGTAGATAAATCTTCTACAGTCTGTTCGCTATACTTACGCGTGTTTCGGATTAAAAATTTTCAGGTAAGTACCCGAAAGTTTGACCTGTTCTTTCGGGAAATATCAACTGGTTAAATGAAATGAAAAATAATGTACAACTTTTTAATTTAAATCTGACCATTAGGGCAATTTTACCTAATTTCTTGGGAAGAGGCTTATCGGAACTGGTTGTCAATGACTAATTTGCATAATTTTGTTAATACGAAACCCGCGTAAGTATAGCGAACAGACTATTCAAATAAATACCTGACGAGCATTTGTAACCTGTTCATATTGCCAAACTTTTTTACAAAATGTCCTTCATTTATCCATGTTTCATTAAATAAAAAATATTTTTGTCTTCTCTTCTTAATTTTCTAATTTCCCTTAAATATTGCCTCCTGCAACAAATAATTTCATCTTCCTCTATGAGCGCAGATTTTCTATCGTTCTTCTTCAAACGAAGTCTAATTCATGTAAAGTTTTCCACAAATTATATCTTTTAATGTTTGGCAAAGTTTCGTCTCCATTAATGTCTACTAAAAGTTTATCCAAAGTAGGTATTTTTTATTTAATAAAATGCACTTTTCTTCGGATCAGTTGTTTCATAGTACCGTCTATTTGAATGGGTTTTCTGCCAGCTGATGTTTTAGGTGCTACTGTAATACTTATATCCTTTCGTTGTTTCAAAAGTCTATAAATTTGAACACTTAGAAACTATACTCCGAACAGTACACGTATAAGAGCGTCATGTATATTTAACACTAAAGTTTTCATATGCACGGTTAAATTGCACTTTAATTTCACAGGAGTATAATTAGACGTTTGTGTCTTTTGTATTGCACAAATTCACTTGATCAATATCGCTTTTTATCGCCTATCATTACAATTCTGCGTGTTACAATCACAGGACTATACAAACAGAAATGTAAATTTTAACTAAAATAATTTACAATCTGCATAACCTTTCTTCCGATTAGAAATTTTAATCCTTTCTAAGAAAGTTGAGGGCTACTTAAATTGATCTTAAATTGTTAATATTTTCTACCTGTAGAGATAATACATACTTACCTTTTTTTTGTTTATTAAAATGACTAGAAAATTTAAGACAAGAATTGAAATAAATGTATTTTTAAAAATTTTAAGAAGAAAACCAAAAGATTTTATTTTGGAACAAATAATTCTAAACAATTTATTTTAGAAATTTTCCGTAACTGATTTATGATGTTATATTGGGGTTTATCTCCTGGGTCATAAATTTTTTTTACTATCATTTATTTTCAAATAAACTCTAATAGTGGACGCGCTTTTCTGTCAATGTTCGGGCATGGATAAGTATTAACGGTCCTGGAATGTGCTGGCAAATTGATAGGCAATTAACAGCCGAGCATTACATACATATCTTAGACAACGTGATGTTACCATCAGTAAGAGATGTAAGAAATCAATTTGATATACTCATAAATGTTTATAATAATTGCTTTTTATTACATAATTCTTCACTTCACGACTCTAAAAAAAATATTAATAACACTATTCTATAGCTGTTAAATTTTGAGGATAGCATTGTCTTCATTTTCATTAGAGACCTTCCTAGACCTTGAAAGGCCTTCGCAATTCTTGTTGTTCTTACTAGCGCGCAGCTCTTAACGTAAAATATGCAACTATTACTGACATTTAATTCAGCTTCACTTCACTTAAAGACTAATTGTTGTCCAATTTTGCTACAGCCTTTGATTATATTTGGTAATAAACTGTTTTTATAGTTTTATATGTTCAAATGTTAATTTTGCTATAGCCTTTGATTTTCTATTATAATAAATAAACAGTTTTTTTAGTATTATATGCATAGATATTAATTTAGTTTTATGATAAATAAACTGATTTTATATTATTTTAATTTTGTTATTGCACATTTAATATACATAAGATCGATTCGACAAAACGGCACTAATAAAAGCAATATATTTTTGTTCTCAATATTCTCCCCTCTTTTTGTCACACCACTGGCAAAAGCTTTACTCACAGGAATTAATTTTAATAAAAAATCCCACGACAACCAAAGATCGTTCACATTTTGGTTGCGCCAACCCTACACTGTACAGAGAATGTATATGGATTCTTCAAAATAGCAAATACTGACCGCATTAATTAAAAATATAAATAAATCTGACAATGGCACTATTTGCAGTAATTAAATCTGCAAGATGAATGTTTATTTCACATCTATTTTCAATATTAAAAGTCTGCTTTAAAGAAAAACTAGATACTACAACTTAAGACAAATGAACAAAAATAGAAATTCGAGAAAAGCACTAAACGGTTTCTTACTTTGTTATCGTTTTGTACTAAGACACAATTGGAATTTAACTGAACATTTTCTTTGTTTTCTTCCAGTGATTGTTCGCACTTATTGTTCCATGTAACATCATTATCACAATTTTCCTGAAACAAAAAAAAAATGTTATCCGATATTAAAGTGGACAGAAACAGTATCTGTCTCTCTAAAACATAAAAGTATTCAGATTGAGGCTCTTGTGCAGGGTATTCTTTAACCAATATTTTACAGTATTTTTTTTATCGGCCGAATCATTTTTACTTTCCTATCTGTATACAGATAAGGAAAGTATAGGAATCATTATTTTTTCGGCCTAGAGTTTTCGACGGTTTTTTACGTTTTGGGATCCCCTGAATCCGTTTTGACTATTTTCGCGATGATGGCTGTGTGTGTATCCACGATAACTCATGAACGGATAGAAAGAAAAACACAAAATTTTAAACTTAAGCTTTATTCCGGCCTCCAGTGAACTGATTAGATTTTGGGCAAAGTCGGAACATCTGGGGGGGTACTTTATAGGTGGTCATTTTTATATTTTATGGAATATATCTGTTATTTACGTTTGGAGAAGAAAATTCTTCAAATAAAAGTTACATATAATTTTTGTTATATACAAAATTTTCCTAAAATGGCCCGTATTCGAGAAATTTGACAAAATGTAAAAAAAATGATTTTTTTATAAAAAATGTTCAAATAAAAGTTGTTTGTTATATAATTCTCTATAATTTTTATTCTATACATAATTTCGCTAAAATGGACCGCATTCGAGATATTTGAGAAAATGTGTAAATTTCGAATTTTGAAGAAAACTCAAAAACGGATAAAGGAAAAAACATTAAATTTTAAACTTAAGTTTTATTTTGGCCCGAGGTGAAATGATTATATTTTGGACAAAGTCGGAACATCTGAGGGGTACTTTATAGGAAGTCGTTTTTATTTTTTATGGAATATATCTGTTATGTTTGGAGAAGAAAATTGTTCAAATAAAAGTTACTTCTAATATTATTATCTATAATTTTTGCTTTCTGCCAAATTTTCCTGAAATGGTCCGTATTCGAGAAATTTGACAAAATGTGCAAAATTCTGACTTTTAAGAAAATTGTTAAACTAAAAGTTGTTTGCGATATCGAACTCTGTAATTTTTGTTTTTTACATTTTTCTAAAATGGACCGTAATGGAAAAATTGGAGGAAAAGTACTAAATTTAAATTTTTCAATATTTTCGTTTTCAATGAATATACAGGGTGTTTCAAAAAGATTGGTCATAAATTATACCACATATTCATGGGTCAAAAATAGGTCGATTAAACCGTACTTACCTATATACAAAAGTACACCCAAAAATAGTTACAGATAAAAATTTAAATGAATTTTTTTAACGTTGCTTCTAAACCGTTTGGCATTTTTTCATGAAATTTTATATGACGTTATTGTAAGGAGACATGTATTTGGGAAAACATGGGATTTAAAACAAAAATTATCCACAACAAGACCCATAACCTATGGAGTGGGTGCTTGGTGGCCAAAAATACACCAGAAAACAGCCGTATTGAGGCATGCATTTGTATTACAAGAACACAGAGAAGTACATCGACAGCCTCTAAAGAAATCATTCTAAATCTCCTACCCCTTAACATAGTCATAAAGGGGGAGGCCAGACTGATTTCATACAGGCTGGGTATCTCCAATAACTGGAACTCACAGAGAAATATAAAACATACCAGGATAATACATGAGCTAAATGATACCATATTCACATATAAAACATGGGATCAGATCACATGACAGCCCGCCTAACCTTCAACATACTCTTCCAGGTCAACTACAACAGGAAAAGCAAGGGAATATAATAGTGTACTGGGCTAAATCTAACGCTACCTTGCTTATAACCATTAAGATACAAATACATAAAGAACATTTATAAATTCAAAAATACATCCAAAATTCAAATTAGGACATACATATACTCATATGTTTATAAATCAAACTATACTTATTTTTCATGGTACATATTTTTTCAGGCGTGTCTTTTAAGCGATTTTTTTATGACCTTGTATGACAGTTGCTCTTATTGTTCAAATAAAAGTGATACGGATAATCCAAGCACGTGTCTCTCAGCATATGTTATTTATAATCTGCTGAAAACTTTATATACGGCTACAAAAAAGTTTTGATAATAGTAAATATAAACAAATTTAAATTTTGTAAATCTTATTACGAGTTTATATAGTATTCTTATCGTCCGAAAATAAAATAATTGACAACTTTTGAAGCAAATTTTTATTTAAATGCATGATTGGTTCTGGCTCTATTATCGTGAAATATATTAACACAAACCTATTTAAATACCTATTTAAAAAAATATAGGTCAACGACAAAATTGAACAGATTCATTGTAGGTATATTTCTCTAAAAGGCTTGAACCAATTAGGAATGCAATATAAAATGAAAACAAATAAAAAATTGTAAGAGCTTTACATATTACTCAATCTATTTTAGTCTTAAAGTATTATCGTTATGTCAATACTTTTTTTCAGTCTTCAAAAGGCCTTTGGGCTTATATATCGATTACATAAAAAATGGACAAGCCTAATTTATTTTTTTAAATAATATATTGTTCAAAAGAAACTTATATTTTACATTTTTAAAGTTTAGAAACAGGTTAAAGAAAAATACTACATAATAATATATAAAATTGATATATCAACATTTTAAGCCTATTATAGAAGTTTACGTTTAGGAGGGAAATTGAAAATTAATTTATTTTCTAAAATACATTTTCTTTACTCGTCTATACACAATTTTTGCAAATTAGAAGTAGCTAAACAAATAATAAATGAACCAAGCGCACTACAGATATAGTTGGATACAGTCAAATCAGTTTTTTTTTTACATTTACTCACGTTGGATTTCAGGAAAAACTGTCAACGTCCATTGCACCAACAAAAACGCGACAAGAAAAAAACTCGAAACAGAAAAACGGGGGCCGGTTCAGCTTTTGTAAAGGATCATAAAGGGTTGAAATAACACTGAAAACAGAACAACTCAGTCCTCTTTCAGCCCTTCATATTTGCTTTCGGGGCAAAATCAATATCAAACAAGGTCAGGAGAGACGGATAGGCGAGGAGCTGTGCGAAATTTGAGTGCGTCTTTCCCCCACCCACACCTACGCATTTCTCCGTTCATTCCCATGGGTTGCTTGGTATTCATCAAAAATAATTAATGCAAATGTCGGTCGCATTCGCTGTAGTAAAGGAGTTTGAGGCATTATCTTTTCATTTCTCTAGGGATGACGTGCATAACATTTTAAATTTGACATTTGAGGTGTTTCTTTTCTCACTACTTAGGTCAACGACGAAAAATTACTAGACTAATCCATTCATTCATTATAAAGCCCTTTTTTATTGCAATTATTCAGATTGTTTTTATTATTACACAAATAGAGCTGTCGCGTTAGAAAGGAGACAGCTGCTAATATGAGTGGGGATGATTTATGAGAGTATGTTTATCTGAGGAGCGAGTATGCGTTTTATGAATGAATCTGTATTTACGCCTACTATGCTTACTTTACACTGCTGCCACACTTCAAAATTAATTGCGCCTTTCCTGAAAAACAGTATATAACTATAATAGTTGCAACGATAAAAATATAGTAAACTGATAACTGGCATTAAGAATGCAAATGTACTTCCCTAATGTAATTTTGAAAACCTTTTGACTTTAAGAGCTTTGTTTAGACAAAACCGAATTATAACCATAAAAAATCCTTGTCACAATCATCTCTCATACTCTCTACAAAAAAACGGAAAAGGAGTGGAGTAAGAGTGGGGATATTACGTCACAATCCAGAGGCGTAGATATCTTAGGAAATAACTATACAGGGTGTCCCAAATTGTTTTACCCAGGCTATAACTTCTAAACCATGCAAGATAATCGAACCGGACAAAAATAATCCATTATAATTGGCGGTGTACTTTAAAACAAATAAAAATTTGACGACCCACCTTCAAAAACCACCCACCTGGAACAACCCCCTCAAAAATTATTAACGACACCCTAATTTTTTTTCTGCTCATTTTTGTAGTCGCTCATTTTTGTAGTCGCTACTTTTCTGTGTACAACTGTTTTTAAAATTTTGAAATCGCTCCATAAATAAGTGAGAAATTAAATAAAACTGTATGTCAAATTGATGATAAAAATACTTTATTAGGTGACATATAATTAAAAAAATTCATTAAAACAAGAGAAGGAGAAGACAAAAAATAAATATCAACAAACAAACTCATAATAAGTGCTCAAATTGCCCACCTCCCACTTCCACACATTTGTCAAACCTTAACAATACATTTCTAATACAGGCAGCTCGAATCATGGCCGGTGTAAATCTGTTACAAGCATGTCCGATTCTATTTTTTAAATCTTCTAAGTCCTCTGGTTTTGTTTCATACACTACGTCTTTTATACAACCCCAGAAAAAATCTAGAGGCGACAAATCAGGTGACCTAGCCGGCCACTGGATAATTGGAGAATGCGTGGTTATAACACGGTTTCCATAAGTGTTTGCCAAATATTGGCTCACAATTTGTGCATTATGAGCTGGTGCACCATCTTACTGCCACCACATATCACGTCTTTGATTAAGAGGAACACCTTCCAACAAATCAAGAACGGTATTGATTAAAAAATCACGATATCCTATTCCCGTTAGAGTGTTTTCATAAAAATGAGGACCTATAATCCTACCATTGAACAAACCACACCATACGCTTATGCCCCAAATATTTTGAAACCTTGTTTCTCTTACCCAGTGGGGATTTGTTGGGGACCAGTAATTAGAATTATGACGATTTAATACACCATTATTATGGAAACGTGATTCGTCGCTCCATAATATTTTATCTAAGAATGTGGCATCGTCATTTCGATGGCATTCTAGCGAGAAAGTCTAAGCGTTTTTCAAGATCATTAGGGAGTGAACCTTGGACCAAGTGTATTTTATAAGGATAGTATTTATTGTCTTTTAATATTCTTTGGATGCTACTTTTGCTTATTTCAATTTCGAGGGCCAAATCTCTGATAGAAACATGTGGATTTACATGAACGTAAGC